TCAGAAGGTGGAGATTGTTGGAGACCATCTCAGAGGCTGCCAATCACATTGTCTATCCTTTACCATATTTTATTTTCCCCATAGCACTTATCATTGGCTAAAATTATTTGCTTGTTTGTATTGTCTATCTCCCTTCTCCAGACCATAAGATCCAGGAGAACAGGGACTTTATCTGTCTTGTTTGCCACATAACCCCCAGAACCTCAACTGCAACTGGCGTTTTAAACAAATATTGTTAAGTTAATTAATTTATTTGTTAATCTGATAGACTACGATGGACTGGGAAAGTAGTATGTTTAGCAGTCAAGAGGAAAGTCTATTAAGTCAAACAAACCTGACTTAAATTCCTGTCCTTGCTACTCACTATCTGTGTAACCTTGGGCACATCACCTCAATGTCTACATCTGGAAAAAAAAGGATAAAAATATCTATCTTGCAGAGTTGTTAGAATTCACTTTAATCATATATAGAGAGATAGATCTCTTATATCCTATATATTCACTTTATATCATACACACACACACACACACACACACACACAGAAGTTGGCACATACTAAACGTCCAATACGTGGTCATTAGCACTACAATTATTACAATTCAAAAGATGATTCTCCTGACCTATGGGTAACACTAAGCCCAGCAGCTGATGCCTTTTCACTGGACCCATATGCCAAGAAGACCTGCCTGGAGAAGAGTGTGTGTGTCACTTCCCAGGAGGCTTCAACTTCCTCCCCACCCACCCAGGGCCTTGTTTGGCCAAACTTAGCCACGGAGAAGGAGAAGTGGGGGCATACCGCACAAGAGACGCACATTGCTTGGAGCTCGTTGCTAGTTACTCCCCAGCGCCTGTCCACTGCCCTCAGGCCGAGCTGCTGAGCCCACGGTGAGTTTGTGCTGACCCCTCCGCACTCGTTCACTTGGTCTGCCTGGTAACTGAGGGGGAGGTCCTGCCTGCTGAGTTTCCCAGTGCCCTCTGGGGTTTGGGAGCCAGCTGTGGCAGACCCCAAATAAGGGCAGGACTCTATAGGAAGCCAACACTTAGCACATGTTCTGACCAACTGAACTAAACTGCTACAGTCACAATCTAATGAAACAAGAAAAGTCAATCAAATTGGGGTTAAACTTTTCCACTTACCGCAAATGATTCAGAGAGTTTCACACCAAATAAACAAAAAATGCACACAAATGCTTAGAGTAATAATATGCCCATTATTTATTTGTCCATCTACTCCACAAGCATTTATCAAGTACTTATGTGCTAAGCATCGTGCACGGAGCTAGAGGACTCATAGATGAGAATCAATATAACAAAATTGTGACAGTACAATGGGAGCTGCAAGGAAACACCTAATTCAGGTATTTGTGGAGGGAATAAAACCCCTTTGAAATGGGTCTGGAAGAATAAAAGATTCCTTCCTTCAATTCACATGTATCAACCGCTTACTCTATGCTTCGGAAAGTGCTAGGTAGTGGAGAAAAAACAGTGAACAAGACACAGTTCCTGCCTTCAAATTGCTCATGGTCTTGTCGGGGGGGAAGTCTCCGGGGAGTAGATGGGTACAGGATTTTAGAAAAAGGAAGTTCACAACTTGTTTAGGAGACATTTTAGCACGGCTAGAATATACGAAGTGTGAGGTAAGGGGGAACTTGGCAGGGGTTGATGGGAGCCAAGCCTGAAGGGAGAGGTTTAGTTCAGACATGAAGCGCTTCATGCCAAGCTAAGGAGGTTTCCACAGTATTCTGCAGGCAAAGTCAGGCTGTAGAAGGGGTGTGTAGGAGAATAATGTTATCAGATCTGTGTCTGCACAGATCCCTCAGGCACTTGTGTTATATATAGGTTGGAGGGGGGAACAGTTTTGCAATTTTCCAGGCAAGAAATAACTGGGCCCTGAACCTTATGTGCAAGTGCAGATGGAGAAATGGGGAAAGATTCAAGAACTAGATCAGAGGAAGAAAGGCTATAAAATATTGAAGGATACCTGCATAGTCTCAAAGGATGTTAGAGTCTTTTTGAGTCACCTACTCCACCTGTATTTCACAGATAAGAAAACTTTCTTCCAGAGAGATCAACTAAGCTGCCCAAGATCACACAGCTGCCAGCTTTACCCCATCTGGAGTGACATCAGTAATTTAGATTATTGCCATACACATTAGTTTGTTAGGGCTGCTAGAACAATGTAACACAAATTAGGTGGGTTAAAATAACAGAAAGTTATTGCCTCACAGTTCTGGAGGCTAAAGTCTGAAACCAAGGTGTCAGCAGGACCACGCTCCCTCTGAAATCTCTAGGAGAACTCTTCCTTGCCTCCTCCTAGCTTCTTTGGTAGTTTGCTGGCAATCTTTGGTGTTCCTTGGCTTGTGGATACATCACTCCAATCCTCCATCTTCACATGGCTTCTCCCTCTATGTGTCTGTCTTTATACTGTCATCGTATAAGGATACCCGTTATATTTGATAAGGGACCCATACTTCTCCAGTATGACCTCATCTTAACTAATTTTGTCTGCAATGAACCTATTCCCAAATGAGCTTGCATTCTGAGGTACTGGGGGTTAGGACTTCAACATGCCTTTTTCTTTTTTCTTTTTTTTTTTGATGGTAGGGGTGCCAGGCGAAGGGGGGTGACACAGTTCAACCCAAAACACCGTATCTAGTTGTTCTGACACAAAATGGCACTCTCTCCGGCTTCCCCTTGCCTAAATACAGGTAGAGATCTGTTAGGATCTATATACAGGGGTCCAGTCATTCAAAAATAGGCAGATCTTGACTCTTGGTTAAAGCTGCAGTTACAATTTTACCCATTTCTAACTTCACTTGGTCTTGGAGCGATTGGAATAATGGAGGTACTGTCAGGAAATCTCAAATGTCTGTTTCATTGTTTCCCCATTCAACATCTCCATCCTGCTGTCCTAATGTGGAGAGATCTTTCTCAAACCCCTGAGCTTGCCCACAAGCTATCTGTTTACCTCTCTATAAAGTGGGAAGAAGGCTGCTTCTCATTCCCTTCTCGGTGGTGCAATAAGCCTTGAATGAACAGAGAATGGAGGACATTATATCTTAGACAGCAAATGCATTTTTCAGGAGAAAGGCCCAGTGGAAACAGCAGAATCTTACCATTTCTGTAGTCTTCTTGACTGCTGACTAATGAGGAACCAAATAATCCAAAATAGCTGATTCGGTCTCACCCAGGAAGTGCACCCCCCACTCGACTTCCTCCTGTCTTCTCCTCTGGGCATCACAGCTGCTCTGACCTCTAACCTGCCCTGGGGTTTTCACATCCCCACACAGTCCTGGTCTGTCCCTGTCTACAGAAAGCTTTTCTAAACTCCTCTGGGCACCAGGAGCATGTCCCCTTGAGGGCTGTTCAGATGAAGAGGGGTTATGGTGATAACAGGATGAGTTCAGATACTTCACAGTTACATCTTTCTTGTAAAGTGTGCCAGGGCTTTATAGAAGTATTAGAAGGTCCCCTGCATTCGTCTCAAGGCTCCCAGAAAAGTGAAACTTAGATCACACTAAAGCCACCTTCCTTAGGAGTTTGGGGTCATTCAAACAGCTTGAACTGAAGTTTAATTTTGCCCTAGCAGTAAGGATTTGCTGAGCAAATTAATACTAGAGTGTAAACAAGTCTTCCCAAGTATGCCTAAGAGCCTGTAAAGGACAACCTGCTTTCAAGGCTTGGAAGCAATCCTTTTACATGCTAATTACAAACCCTTCTATTTGTGAAAGCAGGGCCCTCTGGGATTTCTATTTGCCAACAAGTTGTTTACTTCCAGTTTAATGCGGGTGGAGGGTCTATGAATTATTGAGTAGCTACAACGCATTTTGCTGTGTTCAATGAGAGATTGTTTATCTTCATCTTCACAGCCATCCTTGGAGCTAAGCTTTGCCCCAGTCTGCACCTGTGGAATGGAGGTTTGGCCCCAGTGCAGACCCGGTAAGTGGTGGAGCTGGGATTCAAACCCAGATGAGCCTAAACTCCAGAACCTGTGCCCTCCTCCAGCACTTTATCAACCTTTGAAGGTATTGTTTGCTTTTCTCCAAAGGCTATTCCCAAATTCAGTCTTCTCAATATTTCAGAATGACCTGTCCCTAATTAGCTCAAATGAGCTAGCTTTTGTAAACTCTGTTTTCATTTCTGTAATGAGGAAAATGATGCATTCAGCCAAGAAGCAAGCTGTCGAAGGAGAGAGAGGTTGTGGCAGGTCTGGGCTTAATCTATCATAGTCCACGGCGCTTCCTGAGACCTACCACCGGCTCTGAAAGAAGACAAGATGGAAAATCACTCTCTCTGTTATTTTTTTTTTCTTTTGGAAAGAGTGTTTTCACCACTCGAAGGAGGGACTGCCTCTGGCCTTGGTGCAGACTGTCCTGTCGGGTTGCAGGCTGGGGAGGTGAGGAAACTGCCCCAGAAGTATAATCGACTGGGATGCTGGTAGGTTTAACCCTTTGCCCCTTTTTCCAGGACTGCTGTCACTGTCTACTAAGGTTAGAAAAACTGACAAGATGTCAGGACATAGCTGCGTGTTCTCAGAAGTACGACAAAGCTCTACCCTCCCCCACTGTGAGGCCATATCTACAAGTCACATCATAACCTTCCCACTTAGACTTATTTTTAAAGGCTGCACAAAACACATTTTAGTGGAATTAGAGAATTGGAGCTTTTAACCCAGAAATGAAACAGCTGTTGGCTTCCAGACCGTTCATCATTAGAGAGAAAACTGGAAACATCAAAAGCAAGTTCAAACTCTATGAGGTACAGTATTGAACTTTATATATAGCTCATGTGCCAAGAGCTGCCCAGCAGCACATAATGCATGAAACAAAACAGATCTCAAACAATTATAAGGCACAACAACATATAAATCAAGCCTTTAAACTATTGATTAATGCTGAAATTTTTATTGAAAAAAATACTTGCAGAAAAGCATAGATATGACTCTTATTACCCATAGGACTGGCTGTTTGGATGCAAATAATCTTAACTGCTTGCACACCCCTTCGTACTCTTTCAGCTAAGGAGCCATTCAGGCTCAGCTTCAAGTGCAGAGGAAGTGCAAATAGCCCCTGCACTTCAGAGCTGAGCTTGCTTTGCTAGGAGACCGTTGAGCAAAATCCCAGCACGCTCTGATTCATTCTGCCTGCTGATTGGTTGTTCTCCCGGCTGCTGACATCACCCTGTTGCTGGGCGGAAAACTTCTGCTGCACAGCCCTCGATACTGACTTCAGACTCTTGTGAAGGGGACATTGTACTCAGCAGCGAAATCAGATTACAGCTCAAACGGAATTAGAAGATCTCCTTTTTTGTGTGACAGTTTCAGTCATGTTATGCCTCTTAAATTATAGGATGCGTCCCTCCACCCCGTAATGTAGCAAATGCTTTTGTGTGACACTCTCTTCTCCAAGCCACCCAACCCCCAACACCCTCTAGAAGCCTGCTTTTCTTCGAGTGTAGAGGAAGATATTTTATACATCTCCCAGATGACGCTGGCTTTCTGATTAGTTTATGTTTGTTTTTATCAAGAGAAGTGAAGTATGTCCTTACTTGCTACTGTGAATTTTAATGCAGTTCTTTGAACTTTCTGTAATAAATACGTTTCTAGCTCTCATGTCTGCCTCCAGTATTCTGCAAAGCGTAGATAAACGGGAGAACTGATGGCAAAGGCCAACTTGTCTGTTGCCCTTTACTGTCTCCAAAGCACTTTTTATGTACCTTGTCTCATTTGCCCCTCACAACAATCCTGTGCACGAGGAATATTACTTGCCCCCTTTTATAGATAAGGAAACAAGTCTCCAAATATTAAATTCTTTGCCAGCCACACAGCTCATAAATGACAAGACTTGGACTCAAATCCAGGCTTTCTGAGCCTGTTTTCTGAAGTCTACCCAGTTCGACACAGCATTTTTCAGGACTGGGACGCTAAGTGGCTTGCAGGGGCCAGTCCAAAGTAAGTAGCTACACCAGTGCCAGGACCCAGTAATCCTACTTCTCCATGCAGGGTCTTTTTTTCTAAACCTCTTGCTGGCTCTCAAGACATCATTCTTCAGGTTTTCTTTAGAGATGTTCTTAGATACACATTTATTTTAGAAATCTCTGGGCTTTCACAAGCTTTCACTTATTAGGTGCAGCTTGGAGGAAAAAAATAGAAACCTAATAATTCAGATGCACATTTGCATGCATTACATAAGGCTTCTATAAGGGGTAAGATTCTCTAGTTGCAGGCTTATTTTAAGTTTTAATGGAATGACTTTCACAGAGCAGAAATAGCAGGCTATACCCAGCTCAGTAACTTAGATGTCAGAGACGTTTCTGTGGTGGAGAGCTGGGCTCCTCATCTCTGAGGAGACACTGGATTTCTCTTGCAGATCTCCAGCTCAGATGATTAACCGCCCTTTGCTTGGCTTTCATCTTGCCTGGCATGGTTTTCTCTTTCATCTCATTCATTACTCTAAATCCTTCCTCTCTTCAACTTTTAATACACATTGGAAATATTTCAGCTCCCCTAAGTTATATTTACATAACCAGAGCAAAAAACCACGGAGTTACTCCATGAAGCCCACTACATCTGGTTTGCTCAGACGAAAACAACACACTCTCACCCATCCTTATTTTTAAATAAGACAGAGAATCCTTCACCAAAGGCTCAGGAGACTGAAATGCTGGAGGAGGGAATGAGGGAGTGAGGGGCATAGATGACTCAGACATGGAAGTATAAGTTTTTATTTTCTATCTTGATCTTTGTGACTGCAGCCCCAAAACACATAGCACTGTGATTTGTTTCACAATTTACATAGCTGATTTCATGTACTTTGCAAGCTTCTGTCATTTTCACACTAGTTGCCTTTTTTCTCTTTAGGGACATTGTGGGGCTGTGTGTCCCCCTCCATCCTCATGTCTCATGCTTCCTGTGTGTACACAGGTTACTCTCAATTTCAGCAAAATGCTCTCTCTGAAACTGGCTTCGTTTCACACCACTCAGATGTTCATGTTTTCACTCCCTGTGAAAGTAGAAACTTACTGATTTTTGTCTTTCTGTGTTATTTTAACATAACAAATAATTCGCCATATTGAAAAATAGACTCTTGGTCTCATAGACTCTCCAGGGTGAACCTGGGCAGTTCCCACATCCAATTCTCCCCCATTCTGTTTGCTGTCTGCACCACATCTTTGCTCCTGCTGTCTCATTGCCTAGAATGCTTGTCTTTAAAAAGGCAGAGCTGGGCTGGCCCCATGGCTGAGTGGTTGAAGTTCCATGCACTCTGGTTCGGCGGCCAGGGTTCGAGGGTTCAGATCCCCGGTGTCAACCTGCTCCATTCGTCGGCCATGCTGTGGAGGCATCCCATGACCAAAGTAGAGGAAGATTGGCATGAATGCTGCTCAGAGCTAATCTTCCTCAAGCAAAAAAAACACAAAAAACAAAAAACAAAACAAGAGGAGGATTGGCAATGGATGTTAGCTCAGGGAGAATCTTCCTCACCAATAAAACAAAACAAACAAAAAGAGACAGAGTTAGCACTCAGTAAATGTTCGAGGAAAAAAAAATTCTATGGCCACATAGCTAGTTGGTGGCAGTTAAAACTAAAATTAGATCCCAAGCTCACTTAATTATTAAACAAATATTTTATTGATAAGGAAACACATTAATGTAGGTTAAGAAATTTGTGCAATATCCATCCAATTCTGAAGCTCCGGACTTGAAAGCTCTTTCTTGGGATGCTGGGAGTTAGGATCACCTCCTTCTCCCATTCCACCCATGTCCCCTCCCTGCCTTTTGCTCTCCATTGGGAGATTCATTTTGCCCAGAAAGTGAGTGAGCAAATCAGATCCACAAGCACGCGTCATGTTCTGAGCTAGGTGCTCTCGAAGGGCACTCCAGCATGGCATCCTAGGTCTTTGCGCCCTTTGCAAAATTGTGTGTGCTGGTTAAGAGTTGGGGCTCTGTAATCAGGCCTTATTCAAACCTCAGCTCTGCCACACAGAGGAACAGAAATGGTATTAATGCATGGATAATTTAACCTCCCCCGTCTATTTCAATTTTCTATAAATCAAGGATAGTCATATATGTACTTGTTATAGATAAGGATTTAATAAGATAATGCTTGTGAAGTCCCTATCACAGAACTGGGGTGTAGGATGTAGAAAAGTCCCAATAAATGTTACCAAGTATTTTTGCCAAACTGACAGAAATTCAGAAGCAATAAGGAAAAACATCAAGGTAGGAAGGCATTAACGAAAGCAAATTTCAAAAATGAGTATCTGTGGTACACATAGTTTACAGAAATAGCAAGTGAAATATGCAGGGGTGGTATGAAAAATTACAAATATATCTAGATGATTAACATGAAAAAGAGGGACCTTTCTGTTGTTGTTATTAATCAGCTTTGCCAAATTAAACTGTGGCTTTTATTATATCTGGTGTATCTGTTAACTAGAGTTCTATTGGCAAAATCCAGCCCTTTTAATATACCGTTGATGAAATTGGGGATCAGGGATGTATAGAAGGAGTTATACATCTCTTTTCTCTCAATTTCACTGCATCACTTGCAGAATCTCTAGGATAACCGGAGAGACTAAAAACTTTCACAAAATATCAGGAAATGTTCCAGAGAGCAAAGCATATGTTACTGTGGAGCTAACTCTGGGGGATGAACTGAGCCCTCATTACTAAGTCATGTAGAGCTGAACTAGCCACAGACCTGGGAAACCTCTGAAGGGCTAAACTTTATATTGCAACCTTCGAAGTATATCAAATAGCCTAGCTGTTTTGTACAATTTCTGCAAATCTACAAAAAATTATGCAGGTTAAGTCACTGAACAAATGTGTATTGAGTATCCACCATATGCAGTACACTTGGTGCTAGGTGTTAGGAATACAGTGATGCGGAAAACAGCAGCCCCATACTGACAGTCAGATATGTAGCCAACTTAAAATACAGAGTCACAAGGACTGGGGCATGGGTATTCACAGGTTCTGTGGGCTCCCATCAATAGTGTGCTTATGTCTAGCTTCAAGATAAGGAGATGCTAGCACAACCAGAAGGACCTACAACTAGAATATACAACCATGCATGGGTGTGGGGGGTGGGGGCGCGGGGGGGTGCTTTGGGGAGAAGAAGAAGAAGAAAATTACAGATTGACAACAGATGTTAGCTCAGGTGCCAACCTTTTTTAAAAAATAAAAAGAAAGATAGGGATATGCTTCCCAGGAAAAAATAATGTGTGATTCCAACATGTGTTGATTAATCAATCAAATAGTCACCCAGAAGGGAGTCTCTACTACTGCCATGCTAGGGGGCTTAAGGGCCCTGTGAGACTTGCCACCAATTTTTAAAGTAGAACCTTAAATTGATGAAAAGAAGACATGTTCATCAGGTCTGCATGTGGTGTAAAGTTGGGAAAGAGAGCTAGTAAATTGACGACTGAAGCAAGATTCAAAAAGATCCAGCAGGCTGGGAGGATGGCCTGAAACCAAGAAAACTGTAAAAATTTGTATAAAAAAATCAAATAGATAAAAACAGGAGGAGGGAAAACTGGCTCAGAAACAGTCTATGTGAGAAGACACAGGGAAAGATTAACTGGAAGTTCTTGGTTTAACTATAAGCTTCTTTTAATGAAGGAAAATGTCATTATTAAACTGTAATATCCTTAAGGGCAGGGATCACATCTTAAATACTTTAATATCCCTCCTTTGCATAGCGTAGGGCCTAATACAGAGTACAAGCTCAATAGAATTTTCTTAAATGGAACCAAAACTAAAAAAGCCTACAGCAACAGGCTCCACTAATGAACGGGCTGTAGTTAGAACCACCAGGGAAGGCTGTCAGCTCTCCTCTTGTGTACAACCTTCCTGATACTGCTCTGGGCTTTCTCCTCTAGTTTTCTTCTTAAGATCAAAATCCAAATCCCCTGTAGGATTTACAAAGCTGACCCGATGGCCCTCCTTACCTCCAGACCCGCTTGACATGACTCTTGCTCACCCACTGCTCCAGCTCTTTCAGTTCCTCCAAAGGCCCCAGTGTCCCTTCGAGCCTGCACAAGTGCTGGTCTCTCTGCATGGGAGCCTCCTCCCCACCCCCTCATGCACACACGGTTTCCACCTGCTTCTCCTGGTTCACTCGGGCATGTTGCGTTAACTTACTCAGGAAACCCTCCCTGGATGCACAGCCCAGGTCAGGTCCCTCTATTGCACGCAATCCCAGTTCCCGATGTGTCCCCTATCTAGTACTTATCACAATAGTCATTTAATGTTAACCATGGAGCTATTGTTTCAAATCTGCCTCCCTTGCTAGAAGGAGAACTCCATGAAGGCAGGGCCCTCGATGTCTTATGTCTTCTCCACTGTATCCCGAGTAACTGGGCCAGTGTTTCTCAAACTTCAATGTGCCGATGAATGGCCTAGGATTCTGATTCAGTAGGTCTGGGGTGGGGCCTGAGATCCTGCAGTTCTTCCAGATGATGCTGATGCTACTGGTAGTCTGACCCACTTTGAGTAGCCAAGTCCTGCAGCACAGCCTGCCCATGAGTCTTCACTGCCTTAGACCATCCCCTTCTTTCCATCCTCACAGCTATTGCCCACATGGAATCCCATTGCATCTCTCACCCAGATGATCTGGTCTCTCAGCTGGTCTCCCTGACTCAGTTTCCTAGAGGTCCAGCCCCCAGGCCACACACCTTCAAAGTGTCTTTCTACAATGTAAACCTAATCGTGTTATCTCCCTTCTCTAGAAACATTAGAGACTCCTTATCACCTTGTAGGAAAAAAATCCAAGCTTCTCAGTTTGGCATTCAAAGCTCTACCCTGCCTAACTTTCTGGTCATACCTCTTTTGTACCCCCATCTCACAACCCACATTCCTGCCCTGTCAAAGCCGTTGCAGTTCCTTGAACTCACTAGGCTATTTCATTCCTCCCTGCATTTGCTCAGGCAGCTGACTCTTTCTGGAATACCCTCTCCCAGCTCCATCCACCTGTCAGAAGTCCACACTCTTATCCTGATTCACCTCCCCTGTGTGGGAAGCATTTCCAGATTCCCCTCTCCAAGGAGAATTGGCCATTCCATCATTCGGGTTCTGCTGTCGCTTCCTGTGCTGTACTATCTTGTTTACTGGGCAACCTCCTCCTTCTGGGCAGTGAGTCCTCTGAGCACAAAACTGTATCTGATTCATCGCTGTTACCTTCATGCCTGGCACATGGCTGGCACTTCAAGAATGTGTAACACTAATGAATGGATGTTATCATGCTCTGCTCTGGAAGCTGTATTTTAAGGGGGACGCCTCAACACAGTGGAGTCCTTCTAAGGAAGGAACACCAGCATTTGTCCAGAATTCCCATGACATGAGAAACAGTTCAAAAAATGGTCTAAACATAAAGCCTGGAAAGAAGATGTGCCTGTATATTGTAGGTGCTCAATAAATATTTATTGAATGAATGAACAGAGTCATAATCACTCCCTTCATATGGAGCTTTTTATTTATTTATTTGTGAGGAAGATTGGCCCTAACGTCTGTGCTAATCTTCCTCTCTTTTGTATGTGGGTCACCACCACAGCTTGATAAGTGGTGTGTAGGTCCTTACCTGGGATCTGAACCCACAAACCCTGGACTGAGGAAGCAGAGTGCACAAACTTAACTACTATGCCACTGGGCTGGCCCCCTGCATTGACTTTCTTTATTCATCTCTTAACAAAAATGTTTATTGTATTGATGATACAATGGTGAGGAAAACTGTCCTTATCAAGCATATAATCTCATGGAGAAGGCATCCAAGTAAAAAAATAATCACAAAGCAGGTGACAAATACTGTAAGAAGATAACCTATCTCCATACTGTTGTATCAAAATATAAAAAGACAAAGCGAAAGTTTAACCAAGCTCCTTTAGGACTAAATATCAGTTTTCTTTGCTAACTTGACCAGCTGCCTCTCTGAGTTATGATGCAGATTGGCAGAAACGTTATTTTTGCTGAAATAATCTCAGTGTTTCCCTGGGATAGCAGAAGAAGAAAAGGTATCCACTTGCTTGGAGCACTCAGTTTCAAACCCAGCAAAGACTCTCGGATGTAACATCACAGACACTGAAATCAGCACCTTCAGAGCCCAGAAAACAACAGATTACTTCAGCTTCTGTCAGTGGTGGGGTCTATCAAGAATAAAAAAGGAGAAAGTGAGGAGATTGGCAATGTCTTCATTCCCACACCATTTAATCCCTTCTGTCACCCATACTTCCAACTTTGGTCCTCAGTTTCACTTGTCTTTTTCAAGTTGATGTTTTGAACTTCTGTCATGATCCCACAAAGTGTATGACCTCGAAGGTGTCACCTTTGCTGTGGATATTCTTTTCTCCATCTGCAAGGACATGGCATACTACTCATCTGTCAGAATCTTTAGTAAGTGAGAAGGTTTGGGTGATACCCTTCTCAGGCAGAGAATAACAAAGCCATGTTTTACTTGCCTCTCCAGCCTCGATCACATATTTCAGGTTATTTAGGTCCTGAGTGATGAGGGTGGTGGCTGAATTACAAAGCTTGCTGGAATTCTGATCTCTGCTTTTCACCTGATTTTGAACATTTTCCTGTTGTGCATTAACATCTTGGTTGCTATTGTTAAGTAGCGCACTGTATTTACGCAGAGTTAAGGAACATGTAAGACAGGGCTCTGGATTATTTTATTATCTTTGTTGCAGGAAACACAGATGTTCTGCACTAAGGTGATCTAAGAGGCAGTGGGTTCCACTGTAATTGCTGGCCCACATTGTGGGGCCCAGCTGGGCTGACATTTTAATTTCTGTCTCTTTTGTGGCTTCCATTATCCTGGAGGCCAAGGTAAGAACGTGTCTGGAATCCCAATTTGTGGAAGGTTAGTAAAATTTTGGAACAGGGCCAGGACCATTCAGAGCTTCGGATGGATTTCTTGGAGTCTCTCCAAATGTATGGGTTGTCCATTTGTGCCATGTGGCCAGACTTGAGTCTAGAATAGACAGTTAAGACAAAATTATGCTTACTGCAGCCCAGTTGTATAATGGAAAAAAAACCAAGGTGAGCAGTCTGGTGAGGATTGTTTCTGTGCTTTAGAAGGCTGGTTCCAGGGAGGAACGCTGCTTGGGTGTGTTAAGGCTTGAAGATGCTTAGGAAGCAGTTACTATGTAAATATAAAAGATGACTGAAAGGGAAAATGATGGCTAAGACGGAAAAGGCTCTAGTTTTAGGCAAATATTCTGCCTACTGAAAATGAAGGAGTTCTACAGAATGAATAAAAGTGTGGCATCCTGGTTCAGCCTGGCTTGGTATCCGAGCTCCACCATCCATTCGCTGTAAGACTCTGAAGTTCAAAGTTAACTTACTTTTCAGAAAAGCAGTAGTATTGTGAAGTTAGGGTTAAATGAGGTAACACACATAAAATGTTTAGCATAATGCCTGACGCTGGAAAGTATTCTGTCAAGCCTTATAAGGAGACAGTCTAAAATGTTATAATCTAGTGGCTTATAAGGTTTCTGAGGTCTCAACCTACCTTGGGAATTTGATGTAAACTATGGGTCCTTGTTCCTCAGGAGAAAAGTGCACATGTACAAAATTTCTGCACACAGTTTTAGGAAATTCAAAGGTACAAGGCAGTATAACCATAGACTTTAAGTTAAGATTCTTTTTTTTAGGGTTAGACCCATTCCCAAAAGAGAAAATAAATTCCTCAGTTTTATTTATTTTTTACAATTTTTGATCATTCACAATCATAGCGTGATAACTTTTTAGATTTGGAAGGGATTTGACTCAGTCTAAATCCCCCTTTTTTAGGAATAATAATGTTAAGGTCCTAAGAAAACACTTGGTGTTTCAGACAAACAGGCAACTCTGTCAATTTCACATTTCTATAATTAAAAAAATAAATTTTCTCATTATCAACAACCCTTTGTGTTTGACATATTCCTTAAAATTTACCATATTTCTACTCTGCTCCTAATACTGCTCTCTGAGATACATTTATAGCCTTCAGAATCTCATGTTCATTCAAAGCCCCATGATAGACATAATAATCAATTTTTCTCTGAATTTTAATTAGCATATCAAATTCTAGTCTGCTGTACCCATTTGATATGTGCTATTTAACAGAGAAAAGCCTTGCTGAAGTGCAGTGCTAGAGTAACAACTTCATCAGGTAAGAATTCAAATTAACAGACTTGTTGAGCACCCACAATTGGGCAGGCTCCATTCTCTGTACCCGGGACACATGAATGAATAGAGCCCAGACAGAGATGTGTACCCTCATGGAGCTTACGGTTGAATGATGAAAATCATCTTTTCTTTTGGAAGAATATGACTGGGGTTGAGATTCTGTTCACGGACAGGACCAGAGGTAACCTGCAAGTTTTCAGCCATGTGAATGCCACCAACGCCTCCATTACCATTCCTCAAGGACACCTGCCTTCATTTGCTTAAACCATAGCTGACTCAGCATGGGCAGCACTAAACACAGACTAGCCACAGTGTGTCTGGGCAAACTCCCATCCATAACTTCCCCCTGGCAGGAGCAAGAACAACATCAAGCAGCAAATAGGCCGAGTCATCTCTAGGCTTTGCACTGCAAAAATCTTTTTAAGCACTTCTACTTTGCTTCCAGGATACTGTGGGTGACTTTTGAGGAGAATATGAGCAAGAGAGCAAAAGAACTGGGGTTTAGCAGTTTGCTATAGTTAGAAGGGAGTAGGGAGTAGGGCTGATGATGTAGAAAAGAAGCAGATTAATAAAAGAGATGGGAGACTGGAACATGAAAAATTGAAAATAGGTCAGATAAGTGACAGAGCCAAAGGCAAGAGACATTAAAAGGCTTTGAAATCATGTAGTCTTGTTGAATCTGCTTCTGGAGCCCCAGAAGCAGTTGTGACACAAAGTCAGTGTAGCTAACATGTCACTGGGATCTGTGGGCTCTGAGGAACTCACCTGATCTCACTCTGGAATCCGGGTAGAATGATGTTGTTGAAGCACTGAAGAGAAAGGGCAAAGAGAACAGAGTTGAGGTGGTGCTGAACTGGCTCAGGAGCTGGCAGATTGGGGCTACAGCCTCTACTCACTCCAGGCTGTTGTCCCATCTGGAGGATCAGACTGCTGGTCTTCATTCTGAAACTCCTTTGGGCACCATCAGGCCTGCAGAAACTATGGCACCAACACACCCAAGCATCTGCCTTCCCTTCTTTGCTTTTTCTACCTAGAAAAATGTTGCCCCTCCTTGTTCTCCTCCACATCTAGAACCTTATCCTTGTTTGGCAAAATGTACTCCTTAGTTCTTTGAAAGGGCTAAGAACTATAGTGAAAAAGCAAAAGTTATGTTCATGACATCTGAAGAAGGTGAAATCAACCTAAACGAGTTGCATCATTTGCTCAAGAGAACAAATTCATTTCTTATGACCTGGTAACGCAGTGACCTTTTTCATGTGCGCTCATAATTTGCAAGCCACAATATTTTTGGCAGAAGAATTGCTTATCTCTTCTCCCAATGAATGCTTTGATAGACAACAGTATAAATATCCTGTAGCCTGCGTTTTTGGTTTTGTAAACAACTAGGAAATAAATAAGGCATTTTGCCTGATGACCAAGGCAGACTCATAAATAGGCTTCTATAAACAGAGGGCAATTGTAAAACGCAAAGATGACAGAAGCTGTGGCTTGGTCCATGCTTTATATATGCTGCTCATTATACCGTCCAGAAGACCCTCTCAGCCCAGACCTATATTTTAAAAAACAGACCTATTTATAGTATAGTTAGGTGCTTGCTTGAGTCATACAGAATACATCAGGTATATTATCTTTCATGATTTTTTTCCTATCATGAAAGGTAGTTGCCTCCTGCAGAGTTAAATTGGGAATCATCAGCCATTGACTAGCAGGCAAAGCTCTTGAAATATTCCAAGGGACTCTGTCTCAGAATTCCAGCTCTTACGTGGGAATAATATTTCCTTTTCATTAACTAGCAAACTGTACCTCTTCAGTTAAGAGCTTAAAGAATGATTACGACTCGCTAACTCTACCTTAGAAAAAAGAATTTGTTGAGAGCAGGACACACAAAGGTATATATACATATATGTGGGTGTGCACATACTCACCTAGAAAACTGTGCAAGTCCTAGTTCTAAAGAAAATCGTCTTTTTTCCTCTACACAGAGGTTAGAATGAGGGATACATCATTATTTAATTTCCCCAAGCACTTTGGTTCTTCGTTTTTCAGCAGTATCTCTGACACAGGGTTCTCTATCTTAGAATGTGATTGGATAGACTAACTGTCAGAAGACAAAGATGTACTTTGCAGACACAAGTGCAATAAAGATGCGTAATGATAAATGCTGCATGTTGTCAAGTGCTGGAGGCCGTTTTAATTCAAACAAACAGAGGCAAATGGCATCAGGAAACCCAAAACACTAGAATTCAAGTAAACTTCGATTGCTATTGAAAAAACATATCATTGTTGTACGAAACCTTTTAAAAATAATAACAGCTAACATTTACTGAGTGCTCATCATAGGAAGGACACTGTTCTAAGCACTTCACATATATTTTTTCGCTTAGTCCTCAAAAAACCCTAAAAAGTAAGTACTAAACAATGGAATTTGAACAGTTTTTGAACAGTGACCAGAGGATACAATATAGAGATAGAGAAAGAAAAGTTTTCAGTTTCACCCTTAACAGAGCTCTTAGGCAATACATCTCAGGTCACTTGTATACTCTGTGAATGTTTCCATTTGCTTCCATTCTTCAGCATTCTAGTGCCCCATAGACATGTGAATCTCTAGATGTTCATGTCTTCTCAGAGAAATGAAAATGCTAACTGACAGGTCCTACATGTACAGAAATAACAGTAGAGTTATCTCACCAGCAGCAAGTCCAACCCAACCACAACCCTTCTCGTATTGCCCAGAGTGAGACATCATTTTCTTTCCTTCCCCATCCATAAAGTTTTCAAAGATGTGGCAAGGCACACTTGCAGAGACGATCCTCCTTGGTAAAAGGATACTTCTTTATTTTCTAAAAGCTTAGCAAATCCTGAGAACTATTTTATCTATGAGGTAGAGGACAGGTTCAAGGGGTGCTGAGCTCAGAATGAGCCCAGTATAAACAAAAGAGAGAAAGACAGACTTAGAAAAGGAAAAAGGGACACTGGCTTCTGCAGAGACTAGTCATAGATGCACTGGAATGGAAACCAAGATAAGTCCAGATCTATTACAGTTAGGTGAGATGAGCTCCTCTAAGGCTGGTAATTGGCTCTATAGAAACAGATCAGTTATTTAAGTACATTCCACATTTAACAAGCTGATTCAAATTAGAACAGTTACATGTGATTATATTTCCACAACAAAATGACCTCCTAGTATATGCCTAGTCCCCTTTAGACCCCATAAAGACCACCACGGTGATCTTCACCCTGAAAACTGATAACAAAGGCATCCTCATTCACTTTATTTTTTTCCCACTACTTAGTTCTTAGAAACTTATAAGGAAATTTAACTTTGATTTCTGTTTGTTTTTACTTTAAAAAAAATCTTTTTGGTTCAAAAACCCTAGAAAATCATTAAACTGAGCTAGCAGGTATTAAGTCTGAATGAAGGCTAAAGAGTGGAAAGGAGCATTTTTTTTTTTTTTTCTGAGGAAGCCTGGCCCTGAGCTAACATCCATGCCCATCTTCCTCTACTTTCTATGTGGGACACCTACCACAGCATGGCTTTTGCCAAGCGGTGCCATGTCCACACCCAGGATCCGAACGGGCAAACCCCTGGCCACCGAGAAGCAGAACGTGCACACTTAACTGCTGCGCCACCGGGCTGGCCCCAGGAGGAATGCCTTTTGTCTCTCAAGGTTTTCTTCACTGGCAGTTGCTAGCGTAGACACGTTAGAACCACTTTGACATTAAACTTGGAGAGGAGAAGCGGTTAGAGTAATAGATTACTGATCTCTATTCTCCAACTAGGAACACAAAAAATTTCTAAAAAGTTTGAGGTTTTTGCAAAGCAGACTTTCTTAATAAAACGTAGGCTGTAAGAATTTTTTATGTGCAGAAACTAAAATGGGGTTTTCTGGCCCAGTGAGTTCTAGTTCTTTCTTTTGGAATGTCTGTTTCACATCCATTTACTAATGAGAACTAAGAGTAATATTTCATATTTGTAAGTGCCTGACATGGAAATGAAGGAAGATTGTTTCAGGCAGTCTCTTTTGGTTGAAAGAAACAGAGACGTACTCAAGTTACTTCACAAAATTAGTGGTGGGAGGGAATTAGACAGGGGAAGGGAATTGTTACAAGGATGCACAGCAGGGACTAGAACTGGAAACACACCAGGATTGAAGGCAACTCGAAATTCCAGTGTCTTAGTGTTTTTCTTTCTGTTACTGCTCCCATCTTCTTTTCTAACCAGCTTTCTCGGCCTTTAATCTCTCTCTGTTCTGTTTCTTCATAGTTTTAGCTTGCATATGGTTTATGGTATCCTCTCACAATCGGACTTTGCTGCCAATTGGCTTAGTATCTTAGTTTCCCATTGCCAAATTTCCAAGAAAGACACCTTATTAGCCCAGATTATGATTTTAAGCTAGTCCATATAGATGGCTAGCCAGGTCAGAGAATGGCTGTCTTTGAGTCAAGTATCTAGCCCTTGGTCCACTCATCTAAGACAAGCAGCAAATATGTAGTATAGAGCATGACTATTTAAAATGAGGCCACAAGTAGAAAGATTTCCTTAGAGAAGGATATGGATGTGACAGGTTGAGATAAATATCTCTAGTTTGTTGGCAGATTATGTGGAAATCAATTTGTTCATCTTCTTTCTTAAAGGAGTTAATCTCAACTAACCACAGTAGACTTGGACTATCCTTGATACAGCATGGAGAATAGCAACAGCACTTTCTTTCCCCTTCTCTTTCCCTCACCTTTACCAACTTTATGCTATTACATCCATCACTTTAGCTTCATGACTAACCAAGTGTCTAGGAATCTTCAGACATATATCAAAACATTTGGAATTTCAACTTAAGAGTGCCAACAAAAATGTTTTTTGAATCCCAGAATCCCTCAATTGTTTTATTTTAGAGTAACATCCTAGTGGGCAATAAAATATTAGAATAGGGAATAATTGATACTTCCTTGCTGGCTCCCATAGCATTTATTTCAATAGGAATCCAAAGTACAATAAGTGCCCAAACTACAGTTGATGAATGCTTGGGAGATCTAAGTCAGTGAATCTCACAGTTTGGTAACCTAATACAGAGAATTAGTTCAAAGAATAGTTATAATAATGACTGATTGTATAAGGCCAACACAGGATTGCATAACACTATAAATACTGGCATCAAGCAAATCTGGGTTCAAATCATAGCTCTGTCTTATAATAACTGTGACTTCAACCAAACCTTTAATCCCTATAACTAATTTGTAAAATGGAGATAATTGTAACTACTTCATGGGGGTTTTGTACATAGTAGGCAAGACAACATATGTAGATTATTGCAAAACGACTGGCACATAGAAGGCACTCAGTAAATGGTAGTGATTGCTTCTATTACTATATCTATTATGATTATAAGATCATTACCATGGGTGTTATGAGGATTAGAGAATATAGATTAGAGATATGAGGGTTATCTTCAAATACTTTACAGTATTAAGAGAAATAATATAGATGTACATACTAGAAATGGTACTACATACATATATATAACTTGCACATACACAAGTGGAACGCAGCACAACGGCGCATTAAATGTGAGATGTTAAATGTGAAATAAAGACGTTAAGTGATATTCTTTAATCAGGAAAAGGAGGGTAAATTCTGGTGAATTTTTAATAGGGATAGTGCCTCTTAGAAAAGAAAGGAGGAATTGCTCCCAGCATGAAAGTTTGTCTATTGTAATATAAAAAGCCAGGATTCATAGAAGTTTCATAACTAGAGCATGAGCTGTATTAAAAGGGGGAATTGAAACATTAAGATGAGAGTTGGAAATGGAAAGGACTTACTGGATGGAATACATGGGAGTCACTGTTGGAAACCAAGGGACAGCCCACTACTTGGCTTTACATTTTACTTCCTCACAGAGGCCTAGAGCAGATTCCCCTACTATGTGTTTCCTTCCTGTGTTTTCCTTCCATAACACTCATTATATATTGGCAGTATTTGTTTAAAGTCCATCTTCTCTGCTAGGTTATAAGTTCTGTAAGACCCTGATACTCACGTTCATCACTTTATCTCCGTGATTAGCCAAGTGCCTGGCACACAGTAAGCACTCCACAAACATATGCTGAGTGAATGAATGCAAGAATGACTTAAGTAATGAATATGGAATTAGTAGGTGATTTCATCATGTGCTGTTCTGTTTTGTTCTCTAATATTTATGAGAGTTAACCCCATTTTCCTGTTGACAGTGTAAATTGCATTAAGACAGAGGAACAATACTGTTCCATGCCTCCATCACTACCACTAAGAGGCATCCGGTTGCAGACATAAATGCTCAAAAGATCTTTCTGAGCTCTTTGCTAATACTCTTTTTCACTCTCTATTCTCCATTTTCTATTTATCTTCTATTACGATGCAGAGATCATACCCCAGTCTCAGTATTAGATTATAAACTTGTCTTTGCTATTTTTGTCACCAGGACTTCCTGCTTGGTAAGGGACCAATAAATAAATGGGTGAATAAAGGAATATGTGGACAGCATATATTTCAAAGCATACTCTTCCAAACTTGCAGCCTTCCAGAATCTCCCAACTGGCTCTTGTGATTCCAAACTTGCAGTTCATGTAGGAATGCATTATCTCAAGCCAACATTTTATCTTTGAGATTGCTGTCTTTGTTGTTCTCATTCAAGTAAATTCTGAAAGTTTTGTCTTGCTAACAAGGCAAATTTTGCTTTTGCACGAAAATCTTTTTACAATTTTAAGACAATTTGGGAACTTTTGTTGGTAAAAGTAACATGTTCAGTTGCTTTCTAGTTAACAAACTCTAATACATCCAATCATTTTTCCCAACAAGCTTCTTGAGCACCTCTTAGGTTACAAATACTTGAAATACTCAGATGATGAAGACTCACCCCTGAATATGCTAAATTCTGTATATACCATAGTGACATTCAGGGGGTCTGAAAGTTGAAGTGTAGATTGTTCCTGCCTAAGGGCTCCTTCAATCTCAGCTCAGTCCTACTGACAGATTTTGTGAGAGATTTCCTGTAAACCTCTCACAAAAGAATATAATTGCATCTAAGACTTCTGAATCTACATGTTATAACTCCTCTGTACTCCCATTAACTACATCCTACTCCCAAACCTCTGACTCTTGTGTGAATGTTCTATTTTATTCATCTGCTTTCCTTTTCAACATCCAGACAGCCAGTAGATTTCACAATGATCTTTCTTTGAAATATACAAAATATTTCTCCATCTCAGTTCCCTCATCTCTGAAAGTAGGATATTGAGAATTTGGGACAGTGAATTTGGATTATCAAAGAGACAAACAGACTAACAGGAGAAATAATCTCTGAGGAAACAAAGGAAAACCAACACAACTCTGGGGATTTTTGAGAATAGAGCTGCTTTTACTTTCTGTCTGCCCACTTGAAGAAATTCTACTTCTCCTATATCCTGCTTACACTAGATTCTCATGGAAATACTAAGACAAAACAAATTCACAGAATTTTAGAGCCTGAAAGTTCTTTGTAATTCTTTATTCAGACATGGATTAACCACAGACTTAACGAAGTTTTAATTTTAGTGTCCATCACTAGCATTGGCCCCTTCCAAGGCCCTGGGAGAGTTCTGAGCCATATGTTCACATGGTCATATTTTTAATTAAATTTCAAAAGTAAGCTATTTTAACCATTATTGTTAACAACCACAGTCTCTTTGCACTCCAGTTTACCTCTTTCAAATTCTCTCTCATGCTGGAGGAACTGGGGAAACTATAGGTATTTTTGTTGATCTGGCTAAGGGGAAGTTGAGAGGGAGATATCTTTAGCTTGGGTTTAGTGGGTTATATATATCTGTAGATCACAATCATTTCAGTGTGTGGTTGTTGTTTCAAGTTATCCCAAAGCAAGAAGGGGTTCTAGAAATATTTCCACACTTGCCAAGCCAATTCACCAGTATCATGTCACAAAGATGTATGCATATATGTCTTAGGGCACTTAGCACTGGAAATGTATGCTACGGGGAAGATCAAACTATCTTTTCACTCTCTCCATAGAAGATAATATCGCAAAAATCATTGCCATATGAAGAGGAAATCAGAGGATACAGCCCAAAAAATGAGATGAATAAAAGTAAGATAGGGTTGTATCAGATAATTTTAAAAAATTTATTTATTTGGATTTTGTGATGTTTATGGTATTTTCAATCTTTTAAAAATTTATTGTGATTTTGTTGCTGATTTTAAATAAGTATTTGCTTTCATAACTAATTTTGCATCCATAATTTTATATTTTTTTCTTAAAGGTCCCCACAATATATAAGCTTGACTCCCCCTAAAACCTGGATCTGGCCCTGAGCTTACTTAATCACCCTTCCACATTTAACAAATGAGGAAACTGAGGCCCAACATCTCATAGATCACAGCAGTACAGAACTAAACCCTAGGTCTCTTGACTTTCGGTCCATTGCTATTTCGACTGTCCCACATTATCCGACTTTTGAGAAGTACCTCAAAAATCAAAGATCCTCACTGAAAAATAAAAAGAAGCAAATTTTAAAAAATCTCCTGACTGCAGTATATAATAATAGAAAACACTTATATGGCATTTTGAAGTGCTTTACATGTAATTCTTTTAATCCTCAAAACAGTTCTCTGACTAAGCTAATATTATTTTAATATTCTCATTTTTCAGATGACAACCATTGAGACATAGAAAGTTTAAGTAACTAGACTAAGGTCACACAGAATGTGAAGAATATAACATCCTTTGTATTGTGGGAGCTAGCAGCAAACATTTTTTGAAGGTTTACAATGGTCTCGTCACTTTGTTGAGCACTATAGTGCACTATCTCATTCGATCTTACAATCATCCTTTTGGATGGGTAGCATTATTACTCCATCTTACAGACGAGGAGACTGAAGTGTAGAGATATTGGATAACTTGGTCATATATCTAGTGAGAGGCAAAGTCAGTACTCGAATCCATGTCTGACTCCAGAGCCAGAGCTCCTAGCCTCCAAAGTGATAATGCCCAACAAAGAAAACACCCTCGATGCTCTTTCACTGTTGCCACATTCTTTGTGGTCCCTTTCTCCCGAAGCCACAATAAGAATGGGGATGTGGGCAGAGTTAGAATAAGGAGTCGGTTAGCAGCATCAAGGACATAGTAGTCCCTTTTCAGACAACTGTCCTCTCTATTGTGGGATACACATATATGTTCCATTGTGTACACACATACACACACATATAGGTGTCAGGGTACTAGCTACACATCATGATATTTCTTGCACCTGACCTCTCTCTTCAACTTTTGTTGTAGCCAAGAGATGGCAAGTTTATTTTTAATTCATATTCTATGATAAAGAGTGATAGTCAGCAGATCACTAATTTAGATGCTGTAGAGAATTTACAGAGGTGGCAAATCCCTACAAATGTCAAGAAGATATATAAATAAAATGGCAAAATGTAACGCTCAGGGAGTGACAGAGATTTTGGTAAATTTGGGTTGCCATGTCCAAAACCAAATAGCAAGTACTGGGCTCCCATAGATGGTTGCCAGGTGACAGCTTGAACCCAGTGTGACCAGATCTGATATGTTTCTCCATGAGAAACTAGAAATCTAGACTTTTGGTGAAAAATCTCCTAAATTGTAAATATTTTAAAATAATTCAATTTTTTTTAAAGCACTGTGCTGGTTAACATTGTGCAGGGCAAACAAACAAAAACAAACGCCGCATTCGTAGGCCTCTCATTTGTAGTCTGCTTTATATGGGGTTAAACTGCAGGAAACTCTGAAATGGGAAGTTAGAAGAGAAGGCTGACAGAAATTTGGATCTTGTTGGAATACGTGTTCTTTGAAAAATGAGCTTTGGTAAGAATAACTTTCCCTGTGGAGATGGGGGATTGAGGGGGTGGGATGGAAATGGGCACTAAAGCCGTGGCCTTTTGGGATCAGATCCTCCTAATTTCTCCTTTGGAGTAGGTTGGTCTTGAGCCTTAGGAAAAAATAGCAGGAATCTAATTAACAGCTCAAAGGGAGCAATCAATTTACAATTGTGTGAAGTGCAAATTCCTTTGTGCCCGAAACAAATTACAGAATTTGCAAATTTGTAAATAATGTGGCACTTACCCTGCAATCCAAAGGCTTTGGGTGGCCCCCAGAGAAAGAAAAAGAAGTCTGTGGAGGCAAAATGTTAGAAAATGACCTATTGTCTCAAGAAATGGAATTTTAAAAATATCTTTAGCAATTGATTTTTTCAATTGAATCCTTATTTAGGAACCATAAAGAGGCCCAGTTCTTGGGTCAATAGAATGAGAATATCTAGAGAAGCAAACAATTTCAAGTCCAAAAGTCACAGAATGTTATTAACAGGGCACCTTCTTTCAAAACGCTAAACATAAACATTTGTCCCCAACCCTCCCCACACCCTTGGTTTTCGGCAAGAAGCCTCATTTTAGAAAAGAGACAGCAAGCCCCAGCCATAATAATTCTTATGTCCAATGTCAGAGAAGGAATAGTGACAGATAGGGACATGAACCCTAGTTCCCTTTTCCACAGCAGCAGTTTTTTTGAACCATTCAATTCACAAATATTTATTGAGGCCCTTTTATAAGATCTTGTAGCTATTATTAGAGATTCAAAAGAAATACCCTACATGCTGAGTGAAATAAGTCAGAGGGAGAAAGTCAAATACCATATGATCTCACTCATAAGTAGAAGATAAAAACGACAAAAAAAAAAAAAAACACATAGCATTGGAGATTGGACTGGTGGTTACCATTGGGGAAGGGGGGAGGGGGAAGGGCAAACGGGGTGATTAGGGTCACATGTGAGGGGATGCACTATAATTAGTGTTCGGGTGGTGAACATGATGTAATGTATCCAGAATTTGAAATATGATGTACATCCGAAAAAAATAAAAATTAAAACAAACAAACAAACAAAAAAACAAAAGAAATACCCTAGAAGAATATATGCTGTGTTTAAGAAAGTAAGAGTTATTTTCTCCAAGATTTTTTTAAGCACTTCTCTCTGGGTTGAGTTGAGACTACAAAGTAAATGTAACTCCATCCTTGCCCTCAAGGGGTTTACAGTGTAATGAGAAAATAAAATTTAACCCAATCATTTCAATACTGAGCCTGATGCTAAAGAAGAGGTATGAGAGAGGCACCACGGACACTTTGACAACTGCTTGACTCTACCAGGAGACCTTTCAACAAGAGAAGAAAATCACCAGGCAGACGGAAGTGGAGGGCCTTGGAGGTAGAGGTGAGGGGACTATTGATAGGACTTATGTAGGAGAATGACAGATCAGATTTGTGCTTTCAAATGATTCTCTCCCCGTGTTCTTATTCACTATGAGATGAGTGCAAATTGGGTACACCTTTCCACAAAATATTTTAGCAAATTGCATCGAGAACCTAAAAACATACTCATATCCTTTCAGCTGGAAATTCCACATCTAGGAATCAGAGAAACTGCCAGAAACTTACGTATGAGGAAGCTTATCACAGCATTATTTATAAATATGAAAAACTGGAAACAACCTACACGTTCAATAGTGGAGTAATGTAACGGTTAACTAAATTATGGTACATCCAAGCCATGTGATTTTTATGCGCTACTTATTTTAAAAAATCACATTTTAAAAGAATATTTCAAAGCGAGCAAAAATGATTTTAAAAAATGATGTAAATGTTTAATGAAGTATCATCCTAATTATGTAATAAAAAAATGAAAAAGTAGTTCTCAACATGGGTTGTGATTTTCACCCATACCCTTCTTTTCTAAAGTTCTCTCTTGTTTTAGACATAGCACCAGACAACAAAAGGGATGGAGTTTCTCCTTGTTCTGTGTGAAATCAAAAGAATTGGCTTTTGTTTCCTTCTCTCTTAACTAACAGCGTGATCCAGGATTTGCAAGTCACTTATTCTCTAAATGACATTCTCTTTATGATGTCCAGGCTGGCTAGGAGAGGAAGAGAGGCCAGGTGGGGAATGGAAAGAAAGGAGGGATCCAGAAGCTGAACATTACCATGACAGCAGAAAACAAGTATGATGGGACTGAGGGTAGCAAGGACTAGAAGCAAGGATGGTTGTTGTGTATTGAGAATGAGTTACTAGATTGAAGATTTCAGGGGTGGAACATAAACACATATAGTATAACAGTCCAATATGTATAAGAAATGTCACAATGCAGTACATGGTTAACTGCCAAATAAACGGCACTATAGACAATGAATGTTATAAAAATTTGGAGGAGTTTGGTGGAGAGAGCCTTCATTTGGTCACACACATGTATCTGACCATGTATCAATGAAGATATTCCTCTAAAACCTTGTAGCAATCCTTGTTAGAGAGTATGGTTGTGTAGGGTTGGACTTTCTTGGCCATCTTTTCTTTTAGTTATTGAAGAACTTAAAGGACTTCATTGTGAAAGGATTTTAGCTATTAAGTAAAAGGAAATGTTACAAGAAGAATATGATAGAAAACTACTTGAAGCTAAAATATTATTTGAGAAAATTCAATCTCTGTACAAAAATTCACTTCATTCTTCAATTTCTCCTTTCCTTTAAAATGTATTCACATAAAATCTGCTTTACAAGACAGAACCAGCCAGGAAGACAGCCCAAGAAATTTACCACTAAATGGGGACACATATGTGTTTCAGTTCTTAGGAAAACTGCCTTGCTAACTTTCTCCCTGCTTCTTAGTATTAAAGGGCATGTGGTAATTTCTCTCTTGCTGAATTTTCTTGCCTTTACAGTTTCTTCTAACTGAATGTTAAGCATCTTCCCCTTATCATTGTTACCCTAGGCTATATATGTCTATACAGCATCAAGCAACCTTTAAGTATCACTCGTTAGATGGATCAACACGCTTACCCAGTCACATAACTTAGACCTTTTTAGTGTTTTCCAGTCTATTTTAATCTATTTAAACCTGACACTGCCAGATTTCCATTTCCTTTGTTCCTTGTGTAGACATCGTTTAAGCGTGTTGGTCTCTAAAAAGGACAGAGAGGAGGCAGCTGTTGAAAAATGAGGAGATTGGCAGTTTTAACCACACAATTTGGTCTAATGGCTTTGATATGCTAAACTTGCTAGCTCCTCCAAGTGTACCTTTCTGATTTTGCATCACAACACCACACTGAATCCCTAAGGAAACCAGGGTAGTCTTTTAAATTAAAAAGAAAAGACAGAAATGCAAACCGTTCTTTTAAATCATCTCCACAGATTCATTCTGTGAACGGCAGGCCTTCGCAAATCCTTGTGCACTAGAGACCTTTAAAAAAGGAGAAGCCGAGAATACTGATCGTGTTCTAAAGAGCGAAAACAGGTGATGTCATAACGCACAGTCCTGTGTGGTCACAGCCAAGGCCGGGTGGGGAGCTGGGGCTCCAGTGAGACGGAGCTCCGCGCCAGTGGGTGAAGCAAGTTATCTCCGGGGCCCGGAGGACACCGGTGAGGACCGGGCACCAATCAGGTTCTCGCTCCGCGCCTGCCTTTGTTCTCACTGGGGAGCAGGTTTTGGGGTGTCTCGCGTCGGGAGCCCGCAATCGACTAGCACGCGCATTGCTGGCCCCCTTGGGAGACCTGGCTCCCCAACTCGCCTGTACCCCAACACCCTGCCAGCCAGAGCTTTCCCCAATTACATCTGCCTTCTCTCCCCAGAGCATGGACGCCAAAATCCTGACTCACCATTTTTAGCTTTGGAAGAGGCAGGTCCAGCCCAACAGTTTTAAAAGGCAATTTGTTCTCTGAACCTTCCTTCCCAAGCAGGGCTCTGTGCTCTGTGTGTGTCTGGCCAGCCGTCTCAGAAAGGGCTTTTGGGTGAAGAGGATAAACCTGTTTCTTTGGCCCTCTCGTGCTGGACAAATAAAGGAAGTTTCATTGCTGAGATGACTGCGAGAAGGGGCTTCAGATCGAGGAGAAAACCGCTAAACCAGAGGTTTTGTCTTTTTTCCCCCTCACTCGATTAATGGTGTAAATATACCTCAAACATCTATCCCCTAACCCCCGCCCAAACCTCAGGTAACTGGTCTTTTGTAAAACAAGGGTCACGATAAATGATGCATAAAGTTCTTTGAGATCCCTGGAAGCAAAGTGCTACGTGACTGCAGTCTTCCTTACAGCTAAGCTAAGATTGTGGCTGAGAGAAAGCCTAACCGCTGCCCTGATGGTATGAACGTTTCAGTTCCCCCTCCCTTCCCAACCTTTCTCAAGAAATCAGGAAATTTTTAGCTCAGTCTTAGACCCGCTAGCGAGCTCTAGCTCCCAGTTATTTTTCTCACCCTCCTCACCATTTCTGCAGGGACCTAGGGAAGGGGGCGTGGCCTGCCTTAGATAAGGGGCTGGGCTCCCCGGGATAATTTGCATACAACACACCCTCTTTCTCCTATTGGCGGAGCAGCACAAACTATATTCCCTCCCACTTCACTACCTAACTAACCCGCCAGCTCCCTTCAGTTCGGAGCCTCGGAGACAAACTTAACTTGCCCGGAGATTCAAGGCGTCCTCGGCCTCTGTGATTGGCCGGCGCAGCTCCCAGCCGGGCTCTAGTTGCTCATTGGCTGCGGGCTAGCGCCCCGGGGGCGTGGCCGGAGCTGTCCGATTGGCGGGAGGGGGCGGTACCGGAGCGCGGTGGTGGTGAAGGCGGTGGGGAGGCGGGGGCGGGGCCGCACTGAGGCGCTGCGGCGGCGGCGGCGGCTGCAGCGGTGGCGGCTGCTCATCCTAG